TCTTTAATATGGATGAAAAGGGGAAATTTGTCTGTCTTTTTTGAGTCTTTACAAATTTTCTATGTGGGACTGGGCAATTACATTTCGATTTCTATTAAATAGGATGGAATTCAGAAATAAACCTGAGGGAATGGAGCAAACAGTTAGAAATAACTTTTGCTCTCTTATTCGTGTTTTCCCAAATGTATTAAATTGAATTCTGCAAAAATGTTTTTGAAGTTTCATGTTTATGTTTTTCTTTTTTTTTTTTTGGTTTGATTCTTTATTTTCTTGAGTTCTATTTCACTGTCTTATTGACTTGGTTCAGGTCCCTTCTGATAACCCATCCAAAGAAAGTCCATCAGAAGCCAAGGTATAATCCCATCTTTTAGGAGATTCCTTTGATCCCATATTTTCTCGGATTACAAGTGTAAGATAGATCATAACCATATATTGCTGAATAATAACATTGATTATTATTGTATGTTTTAAGATAAATGCCCTCGGTTAATTAAACCACACAAGGTTGTCATAAATTAAAATAGTAGTGACGGTGGGTTTTACAAACCCAATATACTGAAATACCTGATGACCTTTTACTAATTGTATAATGTCAACTAATTCTTGGTTGAATTAAGTTCTATTTTGCAGACAGGTCTCAGTTTTTTGCCCTCAAATAGAAATTGGGTGTGGATGGAGGGAGAAATAGGATAAGATCAAGGCTTCTAACATATAGAAAATGGTGAAATAGGAGCAGAGGAAAGACCACTGACACACCCTGATTTTCCTTTACAGGACAGACATAGTGATGATGATAGTGATGGCTCATCGTCCAAAATGATTAGTTTTGAATTATCCAATGGCCATCCCTATGACCCTCATGTTCCAACAGCAGTTGATGATGATCAATATGTAGAATATCAACTGGATGACTTGACTGGTTTTCCATGCAGTGCAGAGGAGGAAGAAAGGGTGAGTTAAAACCATTGGGTCATGCATCTCCAATTCCAACTATGTTTTAGCCAGCTAATCTAAACTTCTCTTATGGTTCTTGATGTTTCCAGATGCTCATGGAAGCTGTCATTGAATCGTTGAAGGACTTGGAGATGCGATGTCCTAAGGCAGAAGAAAAACAACCAAGTAGTAGCAACAATTGTCCGGAGTCTGCAGAAAAAGACGAGCAGAATGCCTCAATGATATCAGAAAGCTCTGGCCCTCCAAGTTCAGAATGTACTTCAACACCGGTAGACAATTGCTCTTCCCAAAAGGAAGATTGCTGTTCAAGGACTGACTCTACTTCAACTCCAGTAGACAATGATTTACCCCCATTGAGAGATTCCATTGCCATTTCAGCAATCACTGACCATAATTTGGCGCCTGAGCCTGCATTCCAGGATACATCTATATCGTCAGCTGTTGCTGCACTTGACAGTCAATCTCCTCTGGAATCAGCAAGCACGGTGACCTCCACTAGCGGTGATACCTTGGCAAGCATGCAGGGAGCAACAGATGTCCAGGATATGTCAGCAAATACCAAAGCGACGGTTACAGTTGTAAGGAACCCGGCAAACCATATTATGGATGGTTTGATGCGTCGTTGGGATCTTAACTTCTTTCGAAACAGATAAGATTCAGATTATTCGAGTTTGAACAGACTGATGATGAATTGTTTTGTAAGTAAGATAGCCTCAGGGATTGTAGCTTTGTAAAGTACTTGAATGAAAAGAGAAGGGGGAGGAGAAACAAGAACATAAGCAAAAGAATGGATTATGTGAATGTGTTTGAGAAAGTGATTATATTGGCTTTTCATTTTAGTCACAGAAGATTTTCATTTATTGTTTTTGTTTGAAGTAATGTAATGACAATTTGAACTTTGATAATGGAAAAGTCATTCAGTGTCATAATATTATCCTCATTTGGCTGTTTGGGTGGATCTACTTTCTGAGAAAATGATTCCGCTTCTTAAACTATTAATTTTATTATTATTATTATTATTATTTTTTATTTCGACTTGTTTAGTTTTAATTTCCACATGATTATGTTTAGAAGCTGAAACAAAATCAAATAAAAGAGGCTGAATTGTGACAGAAACATTACAGAATATTAATTACAATAAACATGAAATTTGAAGAGAATAAAATTTTGCTTGTAGATGATGAATTTTCATGCTAGAAATGGTTTTTTTATCTCTATAATTTTTCAGAATAAAATGAGAAATAAAAATATTATTAAAAAATCAGTATTTTATTTTGATAATTAATTTAATAAATAATAACGAAAATAATCATTGGAGTTTATGCATAAGCATAACATGTACAGGAATTATATTCATTCGCCGTGTTACTGACAATATGATTTTAACATGCTTCCAGCAACTTCAACGCTGCCTCCACCAGTGAATGAATTGTGGTGCTATGGCGGCTCAATCCAACAGTACCAGAGAATATATTGAAGTTCTCGAGCTCAGCCGTTGTCTCCAAAACATTCTCCAACTCTTTCTCCATTCCCATCTCCTTGAAAATCGCTTCATTTCCAGCATTGTCTTGCATCATCCATATTGCCAACTCTATGGCAAATCTCCGGATTCTTGGAACCCGAATTGATGGCTTTTCATACTTTTTCAAAATATTAATTAGTGTTTTGGCTAATTCATCCTGTTTAATCCCTGCTTTCTCATACATGCTGATTGATTCTTCTGATGTCATGAAATTTGAAAACATGCGCTGCTACTCCAACCCATGACTTCTTGCAGTTTGTTCTCTTCTGCTGACATAATTTGTCTTAAAGCACCCTGTCACAAATGAAAAAATGATCAAGGACTTAATCAACATTTCGGGATATGAAAAAATTAAACCAAC